AGAGTCTTACAACAGAAGAAGGATTTCCTAAGAAACAAGTCCAACTAGCAAAGTATTCAAAGTTAATAGTCCAAGAAGGAGATTGCAGTCCTACCGATTCAAAGAAGGGATCAAAACCCTACCAAAACATATTGAAATCCTCAACCAAACCAAATAGTATCTAGAGTAGGCTAGGGCAACACCAACTCTAGAGTTTCAAGATTAACAAAGCAGCTATTCAAGAGAAATCGGAGAAAACTCTACCTGGTAGGTGTCCTTTTCCAGGAGAAATACCAGAAGAACTCAAAACCCTTTCCAAACTGATTCAAACCAAACCAAACAAGGAGATATTAGTACAGCTCCTTTGGGTGACACCAAATCCAAAGTTTTAGGCAGATCTGATACTTCAAACAAGAGAACCAAAGAAAGCCCTAAAGCTGCTGTCGCAAGAGTCCAGAACGGAATATAGTGTTGACTGATCAAAACAGCCCACAGAAGCTTCAAACCAGATGTAAGAACTCAAGAGAAACCTTCAATCTTGAGCAGAAATCATATGTTAGAGCTGGTACAAAGAACCTGCTTTGATACCATGTCAATAAGATGAATAGTGGAGAGTCTAGAACCAGGTTTCAGGGGTGTCAAAGAATAGAATAAGCCCACATGAGCTTAAAGAATTTACAAGAAGACTCTTATAGGCCAAAAGGATTACAAGAAAGCCCTTATAGGCTGATAGAGAAAAATAAAGTAATAAAAGATACAATGCAACAAGGGCTACGATATTAGAATACATCAATACTCTTCACATTCTTTCTCTTAGCTACTCCATTCTACTGGGGTGTATGAGGACAAGTACTCTAATGAATAACCTCATACTCAAGGAGATATGAGGCTAAAGGCTTTGCAAAATACTCCTTGGCATTCTCAGATCTAAGATTTTTTATTCTGATTCCAAATTGAGTCAAAACCATCTAGTGGCATGGGTCAAAGTAGGTACCTCATCTCGAGAAGGCATAAGATAAACCCAAGAGAAACAAGAGTAATCATCCACAAAGAAAAGGAAATATCTGTACCCACCCATAGAAGAGATATGATATGACCCCCAAACATCAGTATGCACAATTTCAAAAGGAACCATACTTCTTTTATTACTCAAGGAATAGGTTGATCTACAATATCTACAATGCTTTGCAAGTTCACAACTCTAACACTTCAAACTAGACACTTGGATTGACTCAAACAGAATAGGAAAAAGACTCTTCAAAGACCCAAAAGACAAATGATCCAACTGATTATGCCAAAGCATAATCTGACTCACAGACTGAGACACAAAAGACCTTCCAACCTCTTTCCCCCTCCCAAGTGGATGCTCAAGCAAGTAGATTTCATTCATCTCACGGCCAATCCCAATCACCTTCCTTGTCTTTAGATCCTGAAAGACACAATGAATAGGGAAAAAAGTTACTAAGCAATTCGGGATTTTAGTAATGTCACTCATTGAAATCATATTAGTGTTGAGTTTGGGGACATGAAGGACAAAAGACAAGGAAATGGAATCAAACACTCTGATCAGAAATGGGTACATGGGAGCCTTCAACAATAGAAACCTTGTCTCTACCAGAAAATAATGAGTAGGAAGTAAACATAGAAGATAAACTAATCATATGGTCTGAAGCACCTAAATCAACAATCCAAAAAGGACTAGAGTTACCTGGGACCGAAGCATGATAAGCAGTAGCTCTTGTACTTGAGTGAGCAAAAGTTGAAGTGGGAGTAGTAGTAGATGTAGTAGCTGATCCGGATGACTGAGATGATCTTGAGGCTCCAGCTTCACACTCTAATTGAGTTAAGGCAACTCTGACTGCAGCTAAGGCATCTAGGGATGCAGATTTTGTAATAGACAATTGCATTGGCATTACCCTTCTTATTCTTGAGTTTTGTTGGAATAAGATGGGGATAGAGCTTCCAACAGATGTCCCTAGTGTGTTTTAGCGTCTTACAATAATCAAAAACCATCTGACTCTTGTCTTCCCTCTTTATTTCCCTCTCCTTATTACCAATAGTCGTTGGTTCCACCATTTCACTGCTGCCAAGGCTGATTCCATGGGTGGGAGCTATAACATAACCTTCCTTTTACTCTCTTCACTGTGTACTAGTGAATAGACCTGAAACAAAGTGACTCACAATGCCATATTCTAAATTTAGACCAGCAAGAAATTCAAACACTCTATTTGTTTCAACCAACTTCCTATGTGTTGTTGCATCCGTTTGGCTTTCCCATTCAATGGTTTCCAGGTGATCAATTTCATGCCACAAAGATTTCAAAGTGGAGAAATAAACAAATACAGGTCCCCCCCCCTTTAAGGTTTTTTTTAATAAATCTCCCCATTGTTTAAGGTTATTCATTTCACTTTTCGACTCATGGACCCTAGCAATATTCAGGGGCTGAGTAAGTTTCCTTCATATTCTCTCAAATTTCCTTAGCAATTTTCACCCATAGGTAATTTCTACTGTTGTGAGGCTGCATAGAATTGCACAACCAAGTCATCACTATATAGTTTTCCTGAACCCATTAAGCATAAGTTGAATCTTCCTTTGCTGGTTGCTTTGTGTTTCCAGTTACATATCCCAGTTTCCCCCTTCCTCCAATGGCCATCATGGCCGACTGAGCCCTTAACCAAGTCATCATGGCCGACTGAAAAGTATTGTTTGACATACTTCCAGACCCCATAGATCCATCCCCAAGTGATTTTGGTTCCTTCCCAATTGTCTCCATACTAATCACACCACCAAGGTCCACAGGTATTCAAAAAAGAGTCTGTATAACAGTTCTGCACAACAAAAAACAGTTCTGGAATGCCTAGAACCCTAGATCTGATTTGTTATCAATAGTTTAAAGCAGTCCAGAACAAAGAAATAGTTCTGAAATACCTAAAACCCTAAAACTGATATGTTTTCAGTAAGTCTGGAACTAGCCCTAGAGATAATCAAGGGAAAATTCAGCCACACCCTAGAACTGATGTTTTTCAGTAAAAATTGGAACCGGCCCTAGACATAACCAAAGAAAGATTCAGGCGCACCTTCCAGAAGTGCCCAGTCTCCTTCTCCAAGCTATTGATCTCAGAAAAAGGTTGTTTTCTACCCAAAAAACCCTATGTGCCAGTATCAACTGAAGGGTTTAACTCCTAAACCTTAATCTGATCCACAGGTATTCAAAAAAGAGTCTGTATAACAGTTCTGCACAACAAAAAACAGTTCTGGAATGCCTAGAACCCTAGAGTCTGTATAACAGTTCAAAAAAGAATCTGATCCACGAACACACTATTCAAAAAAGAGTCTGTATAACAGTTCGGCACAACAAAAAACAGTTCTGGAATGCCTAGAACCCTAGAGCTGATTTGTTATCAATAGTTTAAAGCAGTCCAGAACAAAGAAATAGTTCTGAAATACCTAAAACCCTAAAACTGATATGTTTTCAGTAAAGTCTGGAACTAGCCCTAGAGATAATCAAGGGAAAATTCAGCCACACCCTAGAACTGATGTTTTTCAGTAAAAATTGGAACCGGCCCTAGACATAACCAAAGAAAGATTCAGGCGCACCTTCCAGAAGTGCCCAGTCTCCTTCTCCAAGCTATTGATCTCAGAAAAAGGTTGTTTTCTACCCAAAAAACCCTATGTGCCAGTATCAACTGAAGGGTTTAACTCCTAAACCTTAATCTGATCCACGAACACACTGATCCTTCCTGGTTTGTTGATGATCTCCAAGACTCCAGATCTTGGGCAGCACAATCTCCTCCAACAAACCTCCAAGAATCAAGCAATTCTGACTGAAAAGTCCAGCCCCAGTCTATCCTCATGTAGCTGGCTGGAACAAGACTACATGAGAACCCTGGCAGAAAAGAGAGGAGAAGAAGAGAAGAATAAAATAGTAACTACAGCAGGCCCAAAAGAAAAGTAATAGCAGGCGCATAACAAGGCCCAAACAGAACTAAAAAAAGTAAATAAAGAAATAACCAATATGGCAGGGTAGCACCAAATAAATTACTATACTGTTTCTCTACAGAGTTGCTAGAGACCATGAGGTTAGTATCATACTAAGCTCTTCCAGTCCAGTGGAACAGGGAAATTCTTCTAGAGCTAAACTTTTGATCTTGGTTCAGGGTTTGAAATTGTTGGTTAGACAGGAGTTAAGGAATGCGGAAGTTGAGACTTGAGAGTGACTGTCAAATGGTTTTAGGCTGGATGACAAGGTGATACCAAATTCCTTGGAAGTTCAGACCTTTAGTCAGAATGCTCAAGCTCTAGGTGTTGATTTGAACGCTTCATTCAAATGGGTGCCTAGGAATGCCAATATGCTGGCTGATTCTCTGGCTATGGCTGGGGTAGGGAAATCTTGTTTAGATGGGGGATGCCCAGGACTGGCTGCTAATGTTTAATTTGTAACCAGTGCTGTTTTTTGCTTTGTTGTATTTTATTGTTTCTCTGTTGTCAGCTTTGGATGCTTTTTTGGCTGTACTTTTCATGTGCAGCCTGGTGTTTAATGATTATTTTCCCTTTGTTGCTTATCAAAAAAAAAAAAAAAACAGAGAAGTTCTTTATGAGTTGCAAACCTATTACAGATATAAAAATGCCAAATAAATCTAAAATGCTAAGCTCCTAAATCTGGAACAAATCTGAGGAGATTGACTTATCTTCAGTATTTAAGTAAGAATTATGAATATAAACACCATTAAAAATAGTATAAAGCCCCACAATTCAAAGTACATTCTTCCCTTTCTAGTGAAAGTAAACATGTAGAGAAGATAGCATTGGAAAAATAAAAGGTGAAGCAAAGATTGATGAGGCAGTGAGGTATGAACTTCATTAATCAGAGCCAAAGCATAAAAGCAAGGACCTTAGTTAAAATGACTCTGAGAAGTTAGCCAACTAAAAACCTGTGTTGCACATTTTTCCTATTGGCAGAAGTTCATTAACTGTTAATTTATGCGTAGCAACAAAAGCTCTGCTTAGTAAAGAAATATCACCTCAGTTCCAGCAATGCCCATTGCTAGTCCAATATCTGCTTCATGAAGTGCTGGAGCATCATTTGTACCATCTCCAGTCACTGCAACAACTTCACCTAATGAGGATCGCAAGTGCTTCACCAATGTATGCTTATCCAAAGGTGAAGATCGAGCCATGACCTGGATATAATAGAAAGAATTAGAGGTTGATCCCATCAAGATTTTGCCATTATGGTGAACTGTGCCACAATGAAGTTTAAACAGACAACCTGAATTTTTGGAATTAATTCATGCAATTCTTCATTACTCTTCTCCCTGAAGTCCGGACCTTCAATGGCTATTCCATCAGTCAGAATACCACATTCCTTAGCAATGGCCTTTGCAGTGTTTATGTTGTCTCCTGTAACCATTCGTACAGTAATACCAGCTGATCTACAAATTGCAACAGACTCCTTGACTCCAGGTCGGACAGGGTCTTTAATACCCACAATTGCTATACAAGTGTATCCTGTAGCTGGAATTGAATCATTGTCAGAGAACCCATTTTCTATTTCCATATAAGCAAGGCAAAGAGTTCGAAGAGCTTCACTAGCAAATTGTTCTATTGTATCCTTGAGATGGTTGGTAGAAGCTTCATCAAGATGAACAACCTCACCCGTTGCATCTATAACCTTGTCACAAGCAGCCAGTATTATCTCTGAAGCTCCTTTAGAGTGGGCACGCATATGCCCTTCAGAAAGCTCTAACACAACACCCATTCTCTTCTTCATGGAATTAAATGGCTCAACTTTAACAAGTTTTGATTGTTTGCGCTCAGCATGAAAGTCTCCACCTAGTGACAAGCCAAACTCCAATAAAGCTGACTCAGTTGGTGTTCCCAAGATCTCGAGTTTTCCATCTTTGTTAACCACAACATCTCCCCCAGTGTTATTAAATATAGATTGGAGAAGAAGTTTTCTAGCAGTATCAGGAATTTCAGAGGACAAACTAGAAGCCTCCATGGAGCGGCTTATTTCCTTGATTTTCCCACAAATGCATGCTTTCACAACAGTCATATGGTTAGTAGTAAGTGTACCAGTTTTGTCACTACATATGCTTGTAGCAGACCCCATCGTCTCACACGCTGCAAGATGACGCACAAGTGCCTTGTCATTCATCATCTTCTTCATGGCAAAAGCAAGGCTCAAAGTTACAGCCAAGGGCAGACCCTCAGGTACTGCAACCACAACAATGGTAACTGCCACCGCAAAGTACTCCAACATTTCTAGTGCATCATCTCCAGACCAGCTCAAGTGCGTCCCCTCTTGAAACTTATGGCTGAAGAGGCCTTGTGCCAAAACTGCAAAGGTAACAACAGCAAAGAACAGACCTATCTTCCCAATGATAGTCGCTACTCCATTCAATTTGACCTGTAACGGGGTCTCATCATCACCTCCTTCACTAAGCGTAGCCATCAATTTACCCCATTGAGTTCTCATTCCAACAGTAGTGACAAGCATTTTGCATGACCCATCTTGGACTTTAGTGCCAGATAGCAGAAAAGGATTCTCCACACTCACCCCCACAGGCTCGCTCTCACCAGTTAAACTAGATTCATTTATTAGCAAGGAGTACCCTGACACAAACAGGCCATCTGCTGGGACCTGGTCTCCAATCGCAAGATGCACAATATCTCCAGGAAGTAGATCGTATATTGAGATCTTCTGTCTGTACCCATTCCTAGTAACATGCACATTGATCTTCTTCTTTTCCTTATCCAAATCTTTAAACTGTAGAGATTGTCGATAGTCACTTGTTGCAGTTACAAATACAACCAAGAGGATGCTTGAGACAATTCCAAGACCATCATGGGCTCCCTTTGGCCATCCTTCCATTGTTATACCAACAATCAGTGACACAAAGGCACAAACAGCAAGGATGATTAGTGTCATGTCATGAAGGGCTTCCCATACAAACACCCAGAAACTCCTTACTTCACTCTCAGTGAATTTGTTAATTCCATAAATCTCTTGCCTACGTTTGAGTAAATCCTCAGAAGTGGTAAGCCCATTGGTAGTTGACGTGGAGAGCTTGTTGGCAATACCCTCCACCCCACCATGAATTTTCAGTTTCTTTATATCATGGCCTTCAACAATGGATCCTAACTCATCAGCACAAATCTGAAAACCTGCTGCTTTGACTTCCTCAGGTACCGTGTATTCGTTGGATAATGTAATGCCTGAACAAATTCAATATAAGTTAAAATGAAGAAAACTAATCGTGCATTAGTTCATTTTTCCCAACTCCTGGAGAACCATACCATGGATAAACTGAAGTGCAGCTTTTGAGACCAAAACTGCAACTCTCAACTTCTCCTACAATGTCCAAGACAGAAAAACATCATGTGATCTAATAGAATACAGATCAACATAAGATGCACTAATGAAAAACATTTATATTACTTTCGGAGAGAAGCCACCCTCTTTGTAAGAAGAAAATGCAGCCAGAAACTTTAAGATAGCTTATCAATACAGCGTACTCTGAGTAAATTTAAGATATTAGGTTTTCTTGAGAGGACAGGACCATGCTTGGCACAATGGTAAAATCTCAGGCTGACAAATGTGAGAAAATGGATATGAGTCTGAGAGCAGAAAATGTCAAGGGTTAGGTCAGTATCCAGTACACCCCTTCAAAGGAGATCGGCTTCGGTCAGGACAAACCTGTTCTCACACCGTGCGCACAGCCTGTTGCAACCTTGCATTGGGAATATCTCCCCATGAAATAAAGCATATAAATACGGAGATATTCTCAATGCAAGGCTGTAAAGGCTGTTCGAACAGGTGTTGCCCTGACCAAAGCCGAACTCTCTTCCAAGACCCTGGCTAGCCAAGGCCAATATGTGGGTAATGGCCCTATGGTTTTTTATAGATGATCCGAAGATAGTTTGTTTCTCCTGCTTATAATGCAGTAATGCTAATGAAGTTCTTAATCCATAGTTTTTTCTCTTCTCAAAAATAAAGAAAAGCAAATATATTGCAATAAACTTAAGATGGAACTGGTAGAATGATACTTGAAAAAAAAAAGAAAAGTAAATATTTCCAATAGCAACATACTTGAAATTGAACTGTTAAGAAGGAAATACACAAAGGGTACACACTGAGATTGATTTAGGTCATCCAATCCACGTCCCGAATTCTTTTCTTCCTTTTCTGGGGGAGGGTGGGGGGTTATTTCTACTCCTTTAGAAGTCCCACTCTCAAGCCCCTTGTATTGACCCAGGAATAGGACAGTGGCTTTCCTAGTCCAACACTGTGTTTTATTCACTTTCATGATTTTGACTTTCAAAGCTGGATCATTGACAATATTTGTAGTTCGATAGAAAGAGACAATCTCATTTTTCCATGTAGCCTATAAATTAAACTGAACTCTTCCTCACTAAGGTAAAACATTTCAAGAGCTGGAAGATTAAATGCTTCATTTGTAATTATATGAATGATACTGTCAATATCCATCTTTTCCCAATTACTCAAGATTATTCACTGTCGATGCATGTAACATTCATATGTCCCAAACAAAAAAAAGGGGGCGACAGCACTAATTATTTAAAAGAATTTGGCAGCAGTGAAAAAATAAAGTTTTGGAACCTCATAATTTGATTCCGATAAAAGGAATTGTTTGTAGAAGTAAGAAATAATTTAAGAGAGGCAGAATGGAACTCGATGGGAAGTGATCTGGTGAAAAAATCAAAAAGACGCCAACAAAGAAAATAAGCCTACGATAAGGGTTTTAAACAAAAAGAAGATAAGTCTTTGTTGTCTTTCTTTCTCTTCTCTTATTTTTTTCTTATTTTTTTTTTTTTGAGAGAGAGAGAGAGAAGGAGAGAGACCTGATTGGTGCGTCGCATAGCCTGGGCTTCGTAACGCTTGGAAAGGTTAGCAGTGAAGCGGAATCTTCGCTTGGGGTTCTTGACGACGCCACAGAGCTTTCTCCATCGCTGAAGCGCCTCGTTCGACGAGTTCTTAGGCTTAATATCTCCGAAATTCTTATTGAGATAGTCCTCCATTTCAGTTTTCTTGTTGTTTTTTCTTCTTCTCCTTGTGTAATATTATTATTGTTACTATCCCTGGTACGGAATAGCGTCACTGTTTCTGCAATAAAATAGGAAACCGGACTTAAATCTCAAAAAGTAATAAAATATTGATCAGACCTTCTCCTCCTGTACTAAATCAAAGGAAAAAATAAGTATGATATCGCATTTGATCTTTCCCTTTCTCCTTCTTCTCCCTCACTTCTCCTGTTCGGCCTTCCGGATCCGTCTCACTTCTCTCTGATTTACTTTTTCTATTTCGGTTCCGTTTAGAGCTCAGAAAAACCAGCCACAACACCAAGCAAAAGAGCGATCGATTTGGATCTTGAGAGTTGAGACTGGGAACAGAAAGTAGATCACTGCCACTGCTCCCTCCATACCTCCGAAAGGCAGGGGGTCAAAACATGACCATGACTACTATTAACCGAGAGCCCTGGACTAGAAAGTGGAAAGTTGGAAACACCCCTCCTTCTCCCTCTCCCCTGGTTCCAAAATCCCGCCACTGCCTACTCGCCACTCGGCACTTAGCAATTCCTCTTGCCCAAAACAGGCAGCTTCCGAGCTAGCTTGGATTTTCTTACAGATGAGTGAAATCGGCGGGTCGACGAATCTAGTCCGGCCGCGTTGGAAAAGGAACCTATCGGCAAGCAACGGCAAACCCAATTTAGCCGGAGGGGGTTCACCTCACCAGCTGGCCAGAATTCTGATCAACGTCTTGATAGGGTTTCCACTTTCTCGATTGGCTCAACAGTGCCCCGTAGAGTCGTGTCGTTTTATTTTGACTTTAGATGAAATTACTCAAAAACCTCCGCGCGACAAAGTCCAAAACGTTGTCTTTGGGGATGCCACGCTGAATTTTGAGAATATCGATTAATTCATTACTATTTTTTTTGTATTAATTTATTGCCACTTTTCTGGCACTATAATATTGTATTGGACCATTAGCTAATTAATTTATGACAGCTGGGACAAATATGTTTGGTTTTGCTCTCCATCATGCTAAATAATCAGGCTTCAAGAAACTCCGCATCAGTTCAGTTGCTCGGCACATGGAAGACCTTCTAACATCAAAGAAAGTAACGTGAAGCTTCCTTGAAGAGGTCAAGTTTCTTAGGTTCAAAACATTTGGTGTATGTAGATTATTTGTATACCAGTGGAGAAGCCCGTGCGATGCACGGGTGAAAATGAATAAAAAAATAATAATTAAAACTATAACTAAATTCATTAATGCAAATCAAGTATAATAAAGAAAATATAATTTGGGATGAAAATTCGACTTAACTCCATGTTTGACAATTTATGATTATTTCTTTGTTATTACTTTTTCATCTATTTGTATGTGTGTTATATACTATCTTTTATGCCCTTTTTTGTATTGTCTTTAATGTGCACTTTTCACTACTTCATCAAAAAATATAAAGTGGATTGCATCATGCTGGCACAACACGATTTTGTAGGTCCGTCTATGCCTTAATAAATCGTGCCATGCTGACACGTGGTCCTATGTGGGTTGTGCCCTACCTATCCTAAAACTCTTCAAAGGTTAGGCCTGCAATAAATGCCCAGACAAGCCCAGCCATAGGCCGAGGTGTGAGAGGCATGATTTTTTATTAAAAAATGAAAAATTAAATAAATTAACAAAATAGACAATAAATTAAAAAAAAAAATCTTAAAGTTTTATTCTATATGAATTTTGATGTATACAATTGTTTATATATGAAATAATAAAATGAAATTTAAAAAAATACAGTATAATTTGAATAAAATAGTATAACAAAAATTGATATATATATATATATATATATATGTGTGTGTGTGTGTGTGTGTGTGTGTGTGTGTGTGTGTGTGTGTGTGTGTGTGTGTGTGTGTGTGTGTGTTCTATGATGGGCTACAGGCCTATACAAGCATGGTCCACTTTTTTGTTCTATATCATGATGATGCACGAGCCTTAAAACCCAAGCCTAGCACAACTTGAGGGTATGGGCTAGCCAATTGCTATAGTGACTAGGTTGTGTTGGGTATAACCCACTTTATAGTTTCACATTTATGAGTGATGAAACATTGGAATAGCAAAAAATGATGAAGGTAAAAATGAAAGGATGCAACTTTGGTTGATAGTATGTTAACGATTAGTATTCATTTTTATTGAAAAAAACTTTCTTTCATAGTGTACATCCCATTTAATGATAGGTTAAATAAATATTGGAATAACAAAAAACATGAAAGGTAAAAAGGGATCATGATTCGATCGATCCAAAGTCTAATCCTATTTTATTGGGTTTGGATATCTTCATTACGGATTTCGGATCAAATTGGATAATAAGATCTAATTAAAACCCGAATTGGATTTAGATCACCCCTATCTGATTCAAAAGGATCCAATATGTTATTTTTATAAATTTTTTATATTATTTATTTTTTATAAAAAAACATGTATATATGATGACAATAAATACATTCTTTTTTTTGTTTTTCTTTATTTAAATTGTTATATTTTCTTTTTTAATAATTTATTATTTAAAAAAAGTAAATCTAAATGGATCATATTCAAATATCCAACGTCCTTATCAAATTCGAATCTAAATCAATATTTGTGAGATCCGATCGGATTGGACTGGACCTATAACTTATCAAATCGGATTCAGGTATTACCCTGATTTGAATCCGACCTGATCCATTTGAATCCCTATTAAAAGGGAAAGTATAACCAAGCTTTTTGATGAAACGTTGTTACCATCCCCATTTTTATTATAGATTATAGAAATATATAATGATTACAAAGAAATTAGGGTACAATGACTAAGGAGGGACAATAATAGAAATATAAAATACTATATATAATATTATAAAATACAATTGGAATAACAATGACTAAAGGGGGCAATAATAGAAATAGATATGTAATTAGAATTATAATGAATAAAGAGGGGTAATAATGGAAATAGATAATCGGAGTACCCATCTACCATTCTCATTTTTATATATGGTAATAGAAATAAATAAAAATATCCCATCTTTATTCCTCACTTGAATTGTTGTGTCATAAAATCAGGGTATTTTGACAATAACCATTCTCATTTTTGTAAATGGTACAAATATCAAGCAACAAAAATAGAATGGCCCATGAAATAGCTAGTAGAAATAGAAATGTAGACGATCAAAAGTTGGAGATTACCAAAGACCCTCTCAATTGGTTAAGAAATCTATCATGCAATCTTTCTTCCATTCCAAGAGTCAAACTATAACCCTCGTAACTTTTCCTACAAGTTGTTAGTTCCTCTTCTAAAAAATCAATGTTAGGTGTTGGGCATTAAATGAATGGTCATGATTAATGTTTAGATCTTTGGAATAATTGGACAATGACACACCAATAGGGATGTTAATGGATTGGATTTGGGTTGGACCTATCCAAATCAAAATCAATTTGAATAGATTGGACGAATCAATAAGACATATTGAATTGGAGTATTTCAGACTTAATAGTCTATATTTATTGGATTGGATTGGACCTGGTCCATTCGTAACAGATTTATATTGGGTTAGATGAGATTGAACCAATATCTAGCCCATTGATAGAAGATAAGAATATAGGTGTCAATGGATCAAGTATGAATCGGAACAAACCTAAATTAAAGCCAATTTGGACATATTAGATGGTCTAGACCGGTCCAAAATAGTCCAAAGTATTCATTGGATTGGATTAGACCTGATCCGTTTGTAATAGACTCATATTGGACCAGATCGGATTAGACCATACCCAGCCCAATTGACCCCCTACATGCCAATAAGCAATCAATTTAATGTGATTCATTGCTTCCCCATTCTTATAATATATGAATGTGACTTGAATAAACTGATAAAAAATAGTTCAGAAAATGATATTTTTTATAACAATATTTTGGGGTATATATAGAAAAAAGAGATGGTTAGTATGCATTAAGTGTATTTTTGTCACATGAAAATAGATGAGATGATAAGAAGTGGGTTAGGGTCATTTTTTGTCATTCCAAAATTATTTATAAGACATTTAGCAAACAAAAAAAAAAATTATGAGATAATGAGAAAATATGACATGAGGGATGTGGTGATTAGGGGTGGCGATGAGTCGAGCTTTTCACAAGCTGCTCGAGCTCTCGAGGCCAATTCAGTGCCTCGATTATTAAACGAGCCGAACTCGAGCCTATTAGAGCTCGGCTCATGAGGTTCGTGAGGCGGCTCGAATATATATATATATGACACAAGGGATGTGGTGATTAGGGGTGGCGATGAGTCGATCTTTTCACAAGCTGCTCGAGCTCTCGAGGCCAATTCAGTGCCTCAATTATTAAACGAGCCGAACTCGAGCCTATTAGAGCTCGGCTCATGAGATTCGTGAGGCGGCTCGAATATATATATAATAAAAATATTATAATTCTTAATTTTTTAAATATAAATTAAAAAATCTATATAATTTTTATTTTTATAAAATATTTTTTCTCAAAATCAAGCTCGAACCTGGTACTATTCGGCTTGGCTCAGCTCGAATCCACCCCTAATGATGATATACCAAATCTTATGACAAGGAATTCCAATTCCTAGGAGGTATTTAAAGGTTGAGAGAAGTTTTACACATTGCCATTTGATGGAGGGTGATTTGACCCGACCTCCTAACCAGGGGACACGTGGATATGACTCGACATAAATGACAGCTCAACATGACAGCTTGGCCACAACTCGACGTAATGAGCTCGTTGAAACCCTAGCAGAACTGCTAACCACAAAACGGCTTGTTGCAAGGCAGCTCGCTACAAAGGAGTTCGCTACAACGGAGCTCGCTATTGAGTAACCCGGAGTCTTCGGGAAACTTCTTATCCGACAAGACCGTGCCTGTCAGACTACTCCCACGTCTCTTGTTTGGCGGTGCAACACCTGCTAGTCCAAAGGACTGCGCCCACGTCTCACGTCAGGCGGCGTCGTGCACGCCAGCTCTGCATAACGTCTCTCAACTGACAGGACCGTACTCTGCGACGGTTACTTGCACCAATCGAATCAGCCTGGCGAATAACGGTTGTGGCAGAGAATCAGAGGCGGTTACACCCGATTTGATAGAGCATCAGTATATAAGGGCTCCGACCCCCAAGGAAAAGGGTAATAAAAAATCGCGCATCTTCACTCTTAGCATTTATTCCTCTGCAACTCTCTCAGTTTTCCGCCGAGTTCTAACTTAAGCATCGGAGTATTCCCGCCGGGCGAGCTCCCTGGGAATCCTTCATCTTCTTCTCCTTCTCAGGTGTTGTCTGTTGCCAGCTAGGAGTGACCAGATCGTGCTACTTCCTTTGGCGTCGTCTATGGGAATACGCTTTAAAAAGCCTCTCACCAAGCAACTTCAGTAAGACTTCAATGGCTTCCTCCAGCAACGCCGGACGAAGTGCCAACCAAAACCCCTCTCCGCAGACGGAGTCCCTACCCTGAGCGTGCCTCAGGTCATGGCGCCAGTAAATGCTCCACTCCCTTCGCCGGTGGAGGTGACCTTTGCAGAACCATCAGTTCTTCTGGTAGTCGAACAAAACCAGCTAGAAAACTTGGTACACTGCGTGCGAGCTATGCAAGCTCAAGTGCAACAGGTCCATCAATTCCAGTTGTACTAGCAACAAATGCTCCACCAAGTCTACCAACAACAGTACCAGCAACAGTTCCCACCGTTGCCTCAGCATCAATAGTAAGTTCCACCTTGACACCCCGCTACGCAGCAGGCCCAGCCCCGTTGTCGCACCGAGCGTCTCCCCGCCGATGAGAGACCTCCCGAA